CAAAACTAAGTATTATTAAATCTATATAATGAGTACTAAAATTAGAAGACAGCAAGAACATAAAGAAGAAGAAAAACAATAAAAGCTAAGTATTAGTTTAACATACCTTGCTACAGAAACACAAATCTTCATTCATCCGTCAGGAGGAGGAAAACATAGCACAAAACATGGCGTCCATTCAATTGTTTATCTATCTTTCAGAGAGAGAAAGAAATGACCGACAAAAAATAAAAAAAATCATCGATTAAATCATAAAATAAGAAAAAAAATTATTCCAAAACTCTCCATTTAAGATTTGTCTTCTCTTCTAGTAGTTCTCTAACTCAGTTCACAATTTAACTATAAATGAATCCATTAAGAATAAGCTGAAGGAATTTTTTTTACCTCTTTTCCATCTCGACTGGAATCTAGAAATTGACTTGCCTAAATTTTTCCAAGCCACTTGAAGTTGTGTTCATTCACAAAATAATAAATTAAAACAATTAAAAAAAAAAATCAGGTCGCACAAAAAGTTGTAGCAACAAACTAAATATACATCAAATAAATCAACCAACACAAAATATAGCAAAAAACTTCAATTTTTTATTAAAAGCTGAAAATTTCATAGGGATAAATTTTTTACATTGAGAATTTTGTAGGAAAAATTAGCTAATGATGCTTGCCATGCTCATGTTACTCTAAAGTAACATCATAGACAAATGACCAATTTTGTTTCCTAATGCCAGGCTTTTCAGCATCTTGTCCATAAGTAACAACAATAATTATGCTTTAATTTGCAGTTCACTAAAAAAGAGTGTGCCAATGGTTAAATATTTTACAGCAGCTGACAAAACATATAATTGTTCATCTTATCTGACATTACATTGAGGTGTCTCCTCACATACAGAGGCAATCCTGGTTTTTTAATTCGATACACCAAATCACAGTTGCACAATGGAAAATATCATAAAGAGAAAAAGACCATCAAAGAGCGATGTAAAATGTCAGATATTAAATGAAATTGAATAAAAATCATTACTTGATGATTAGGCAGCATCCCAGTGTTTTCAGCAGACACAGGCAAAAATTTTAAGAGATCAATATCAGAGGTCAGCTCCCCTGCATCTACACCACTTTGTACGGATCCAATTTTGAGAAAAAATAATGATCGCAAGAAAAGTTGTAGCAACAAACTAAATAAACACCAAATAAATCAACCAACACAAAATATAGCAAACATCTTCAATTTTTTTATTGAAATACCACAAAATTGATTCATAAAAAAGAACAGGACAAAGACCCAATAATAATAATCCAACTTAAAAAATCACAAAAAAAAAAAAAAATCCACTCACTTTTTCTATCTGCCATCTGTTAAAAAAAAAAAAAAACAAAAAATTAACTCTTTAACAAATCCTAAAATATAAAACAAAAGGAAAAAATAAGAAATTTGTTTGAGAATCTGAGATAGCTCAAAAACCCACCTCAAGTTAGTATTATCTTCTTCCTTTTTTTTTATGACAGAAATATTTCCAAAACAATCTTCCATCTTTTTTCTCTTTTCTTTTCCAAAGCGGGCTATCATAAAAATGGATATTTGAGGATTGTAGAAAGATGAGTTGTAAAATGGAAAAGATTATGAAAATTGCAAAAGCTGAGAGACTCACGGCGTTTGTTGGAGAGGGAAAGGGAGATGACCTGATGAAGGGTTTGGGTATGCCAATTTTGAGGATTTAAAAAGAAAAAAATCATAGTGCAAGAACCAAAAAATAAAGCAATAGAGTTCGAAAAAACCATAGGAAGAGACAACGGGAGAAATGGTCAGCAACTCAGCATTAAATGCTTTGTCAGAATAAAAAGGACAATTACAATAAAGGGCTAAAAAGGGTGAAAGAAAGGGAATTAGTAGAGGGTAAAATAGTAACAGCCTAAATCATCAAGTGACACAAAAAACATTAATTAATTGGAATAAAGTAAATCCAACAGTCAAGAATCTTGGGCAATAAAAAATCAAGGGCTGAGACGCAATAAAAGAAACAGCACAGTGCAACTGTGTCTCTGTCCACAGTAAAATTAGTGTATGTGAACAGTATATGAACAGTCAACTGTCCAGATGTTTTAGTTTTTTTGTAATGTAATAAAGAATATATAAAGAATAAAGAATAAAGACTAAAGAAAGAATAGAGAATACCTATATTGCCAATGGCATGCTTATGCTGCCGCCTGCCGGCATTTGGTAAGTGAGCTGGGCTATAGTTTCTCACTTGTTCTGCTTCCAGCACTTGGGCCTCTCTATTTTTCCTTAAATGGGTTGGATCCAGAATTGATCCTTCCTGATCTGAGGAATATTTTAAATAAAAAATTACTAGTTTGTGACCGGTGTTTCACTGCGGGGATGATATGATTAGATGTATTTGAAATGACAGTATTCATGAAGAACGATATAAAATAAGATGTATTTACGAATAAATTTTAAATGAATGAATTGATCAATCGATAAATGCATCAGTATTAATTTATTTTGTTATAGCGACTGATGTTGTTCAATGTAGATTACAAAAACTTTTTTTTTTTTTTTTTTATAAACAGATCCCTTTGCTCATAAAAAAAAAAATGTTCTAAAATTATCAATATTGTAATCCTTCTGATGTAATACATAATTAATTTTATCCAAATTTAATTTTTTATACAATGATTTTAGATTAATTTTTCCAGCTCAAAAAAATATGGTTTGTTTTTCTTTATACAATGATTTTAGATTAATTTTTTTAAAAAAAATTCAAAAGCATGCCATCATAATATATTTTTCATAAGATTTTATTAAAACTTATTTTTTTATTTTACTTAATACTAATGAGAAGTTTATTTTTTGAAAGTATATTCAGTGACAATGAGTGTGCACTTACGGTAAACTAAGGTTCTGTTTTAGCCATTTTTTAAATTTTATAACCTCTTTCACAATCCTAACTTACTTTACTAACCCACAAATATGATCCCTATACTAAGAAGATATTCAAACCATTAACCCTCCCCTCAAAACCATAGTCTATGACATTATTCAAGGTTCAGAAACTTGGAAGGAAAAAACCTATGTGCAAGCAATGACTTTGAAGACTTAGTGTTAGTAGTAGAGCAGAAGCAGCAGCAAAGACTGGTAGAATGGCATTATAGAGAATTACAACTCTTAGGAGGTACAATGATTAGATAAAAGTTTATTGCAGAGAATTATATCCTATTGGGTTCCTCTAAGGTGAAATAGGATGCTAGACTATCTTTCACATATATATCATGTGAATATGTGATTAAAGAGAATAAAGTTCAGAGGAAAAGATGTTGCGGCTTTACACTTTCAAATTTCACCAATTGGTATAATATTAACATTTTTCTTCTTTGCATGTATATCTTCTACCCTTTTGGGTATGTTGATCTGAGATTAGTTTTATTCATCCTCGTGCAAAGATTGGCATTATAGACGTTGAAATCAAAGCTCAGAAATGAAAAATAAGTTGTAATTTTTGACAGAACATGAGGGTGACTCTATCTATTACTTGTCTTAACAATTTACATCATGGATATAGTATTCAAAGCTTATCAGTATACTGCTGATGTGCAGCAGCATGCTGCAGTGTCTTCAATAAATTCTGCTACTCATATGACATTTATAGTAACTCTATCTCAACAGCTTCACCTAAAATTTCATTATTTTCATCAAAAACCAAAGCTTTCTTCTGTTTTGAAATGTTTTGATTATGTTTCCTTTGTTTGATTGTCATCTTCAAATGCTTCGAGGTTGCTTGTCAGCAATCACCATCCATTTTTCATCATCTTACAACATAAGCAAAAGAAAGATGATAGAGTTATATGTGATAGATTAAAATGCATAAAGCTTCAGCATCCCATTAACACTCACTTCATAGAAAAATAATTTCTCAATCAAGGCCCAAAACTAAAAAATTCTGAAATAAGAATCATAGACATTTCCCATATGAAGACCTTGATAAATTATTAATTATAGAAACCAAAAGTGCAAAAAAGAGATCAAACCTGTAAAAAAACATACAAAAGAGAAGCAATCTAAATAAACAGCCTCGCAGAATGATAGCCTAACATAATATATTGGTGAAAAAGACATTTCAAGATTCCATTATCAAGCGATCGATGGCTTCATCATGTATTTGAGTAGACTATAACTACCTAACTTTTAAGGGTAAGTAATCATACTTTCTTAGTGGGTAGATTACTACACTCGAGTCAACTATTCACTACACTCGAGTCATTGTTGCTTGTTGATGGAATCTAAATGAAGAGCACTAAAACCCTAACAATAATTGAAAGAACATGAGATGATGAAAAGATGAGGCATTCATTCAGGCAAAAGGAAAATAACTATTTGAGAAATGATTTTGAGTAAGGTGCGGTTTGAGCTTTGATTTTTTCAGGAAAAATTTAGAAACAAAAGTGAGTATCAAAAATTAATTTTTATCAATACTAAATTAGATGCAAAAAGACTTAAAATGTTCAAAGCTTAGTTGACTTGCCTCTAAATAGTCCTCTAAATACATGACCCCAAATCCACCAACAATTATAAACTCCCCTTCTTGTTATTTGCCACTTTAACTTTTGAGTCACCAATGACATAGCTCATTGAGTCATCATTCATGGCTTTCTTTATTAAATTTACCCTAATCATACTATAAACTTTGTTTGGCATAATATACATATGTAATTTTTTAAATGAAAATATATGTAGAAATAAAAAATTTACGGGATTTTTACTGCTTCATGAAAGCTGTATGTATCTCTGATGATTAATTAACTACTCATAATTTCTACTTCTTTATGCTGCTCACCACTCATTGATAATTAAAGTACTATTTATTGTTTCTGTATCACTCATTGATAATTAAAGTACTATCTATTGTTTCTGTATCATAAAAAAAGTAGCATTAAATGGACATAAGCTAAATATAAAGAAAAATACATGGTGGGAGCTTTGCAATTGGCACTGACTACAACTGCTTTCATAGAAGCCTCTTCGTAGTGTATAGCATTAGTGCAAAACAGAGATCTGAAAAATAGTTATAAACAGTCAAGAACAGTAACAAAGTAGCAGTTCCACCTTTTTCTAAAAATCCATTTGAAGGAACAGTAACAGAACCATGTAAAGCCCTAGCAAGAATAAACTGACAATAAGAAAAATGAACAGCTAAAAGATCTTTACAGCATCATCTAAATAAGCAAGGAAGATTATCATGCATCCTCAGTAAAAATATGACGTGGATTCCAAGCTACAACCTACAGGAATGCTTTGCTTTAAGAAAGTTTCTTTTCACAACCTAGATATGATGCAAGTTTCAGCAGATTCAAGCTACTATAAATAAAGCATTGAACCATCAAAATAATTATGCTTTCAGTGAATTTAAATTTTATTTGGACGATACACAGCCCATCGTTTACACAACCGAATTAAGCTACTTAGTCCCTAGCCTAGAAACTTTTTTGTAAATCAAAACTGACTTGTGAATACCCACAAAGAGCTGCATGTATGATTAAAACAATGAAGTTTCCCTTCTTCTCCCATTGATAACCTCAAACTAACTGCATGCAATATGAAAACGATTTATATCAAAATAATATAAAAATATAGAATCAATATGTAATAGTTAGAAGAAGCCCCAAAACAAAAATCATTGATATAGCAACAAATTAAAGGAATGAAACATGATTTTGCACCAATATAGCCAAAATAAAGGAGTAAATAGAGAAGTACAATTTAATGTTTCAGACTGTCTGAAATGTCATTCCAATAATTTAGAGCAATTGCTTGAAAGTTTGGAGCTCATACATCCCATCAGTCAATTGAAATGGATCAACATTGCATAAAAATAACATTTGAGAAAAAAATTAGGTTGGTGCAAATGAATCTACCTTATGCAAGATGATGTTTTCACTTGTTGGAGATTTTTTAGCAGCGCCAATTTGAGCTCTTCCTACAAATCATAAAAGGAAACGTGGATAAGTTCAGTATATTGACTTCTACAATGATTATAACTGTGTAAAACACTAACTTTGTCTCTATTATTACAGTAGAAAGTTAAATTCTCAGCTGAAATAATTTTTTTGTGCGTCTAAGGCACACTTTTTATCCACTGGATATATCTACTTAATTAGCTTAAAACTCTTCAAATCCGGCTCAATTAATCACAGTACTAATCAAGACATTATATTCAACAAATGTAACTTGATACAAAGAATTCCCATAAAAACAAAAAATCAGAACAAACATATATATACAGAAAAAAGAGAAGACGAAGAAATCTGATTTACTTTGTGTATAAGGCCATCATCAACAACAAAACTACTGAACTTCTTGAGCAACCCAAGCAATGCCTTTACTTTATTGACTGGAACTGCAATATCACCATCACCCACAAAACATGATGTTGAAGATTAAAACGGTTAAATTAAAATAAAAAATCATAACAGTTGCAAGTGGAAAACATACAGAGAGAATTGCTAACTATCCTACGGAGGTCGTTAATGGTGTATTGAAACTTCTTGGATGGAGGGTGGTGATCAAAGCAAGCAGTAAAACTCAATACCACAGCTTCTATAATACCAACTATAGGTATAAACACTGCACAAATTCTTTCCCTTATTTCCAAATAGCTCGAACTCCTGTCCATTCACAAATATATTTCACACAAAAACAGTATTCAAAAACCTCTAGCCCTATTTCGATTCTTCCCCACTCTTGTAGGTGTTTTAAACTGCAAAGCTATCATCTTAAGCTTTCCCATTGTATAGGAAATTTGAATAGAGTTTCAATAATTTGAGCGGCAAAACAACAAATTATACCTTTATGACCTTATTTAGAATTCAACCAGAAATTATGCAAAACAAAATGAAACACAACATCATGAGCTTTCATTTCCTTTCCTACTCCTCTGTTTTCTCACAAACAAAACAGAAGATTAACCCAGAAAAGGCAAAAAAAAAAAAAAAAGAAAAAGAAAATGATTCCATGGTTCTAATAATAGCAATTCTTTTTTTTTTTTTTAAGGAACCAAAAAGTTGCATTATAGTAGAGAATAAGCACAAAATTCAATAAGAAAATTGGCAAATTAACAAAACAAGTGATCTTAAAAACTCGAAAGAGTAACAACAGTAAATGCAAAACTAGTTCCGGGAAGTAACAAGTTCATAAAAGAGATCTAGATCTAATCCACTCTAGTTTCAACAATCTATCAAGCCTATCAAGGTCTCAGATAGAAGAACCGACAAACTGACCAACCAAATTACATGCACAAGTTGGGCCTGGATGCGTTGTATGTTGTCTTGAGCTTCCTGGTTAGGGGTCTAACCTTCTTGAACACCAATGGGAACTTGATTTTCGAATTGTGGAACTGCTTGGTACTCTCTCTCTTGCAAAGTTTTGCAAGAACAGTAGCAGTTCATGGAAACCTAACCCTGTGGCGGGATCCCATCTCGGTGTACATCTGCTCAACAGCACCATTCAGAGTAGTGTCCCTGTAACCCTTTATATTTTTTTGTGTTTTTTTACTCATACCTGGCTTTCTTTCCTTCTCGACAATGGGTTTGGACACGGGTACAGGATGAATCCATCCTAAAGGCAATAATGCGGCAAGGAACTGTCTGAAAATTCCCACTGGCAGGCTCGAGTAATGACCAGGCTCAAGTAACTAAATATTGTTGCATGTTTTGTTTAATTCTCTATATATCTATTTATAGATGTAATAAAAATAAAGGACAAGCATTTTAGACTATTTAATTTTAATCCAAATTAGCTTATTTTGTAGTGTCATCTGTGAGTGTGTAAACAAAAGTCTTTAATATGTAAAACGCATTTCACAAATCTTAGATAAATAGCATGGTGAGGATTATTTAATATTGGAAAAAAGTTTTAAGGAATGAAAAAATAAATGATAGCAACAAAAGAAATAAAAGGATGAAATGCATGGAAGATTGATTCAACACATTTTCAAATGAGTTTTTTACAATGTTCTTGAAAGCTCGAAGTAAAATTCGATCGGTATATTTATGATTTTGTTTAAATTTTAGATTTTTTTTTAATTCTATTATATTATATTGCCTTTACATATAATATCCATGGTATGTTTTACATGGAAACATGAGCTTGTATTTATGAATTAACATCCTTTTTAAATATAACTTTGAGATACTTAATCATGTTCTAATGGAAGCGAAAAGAAAAGTTGTATTGGAAATCAAGCAGATGATTTGCACGTTTCAAGAGTTTGACAAAGGAAATTATAGCTAATTAAGACAGAATACTAATTAACGACATTTTTTGAATTTTTTCAATTATTTCTGAAGGAATTACAAATGGTATTAATTTTTCAATAGAAAATATTTAAAGCATTAAAAATATATATTTTTTTATTTACTTGATATAATGACTAAACACACAACAGTAAATGGGTAAGTGCATACCCCTTCTTTGTTTTTGGGAGTTCCATGGGAATTAAGACTCAGACAATGCCAACCCAAACTGTATCCCATGGCAAATGGAACAATTAATTGATATTATTTCCACCAATTGAAAGTTATGAGCAGGATCAGAACCAACTGATGCAACAGTGAATTGGCATGGCGCAACTACTGCTTGGTAAATTTCATTTTTTAGGATCAAAACCAGAAGCTGCCAGGATCAAAATCTTGTTCTTCCCACCCACCATCTCTGGTCCACATTTTGTAGGTGCTGCTTGGCATGGCGCAACTGCTGCTTGAAGCTTCAACAACCTGAGATACCTGCAAACCAATTGAAGCATGACTTACATATTACAATTTGTTAAATCTTATTATTGAGCAAACCAAGAAACAAACATGCTACTGAAGATAGGAGAGACAGTCCAAAAATAAAATCAAAGAACGACACCTCTGATTGAGCACTCATTGAACCATCTGGTGCAACAGTGAATTGTGTTGCCATCTTAGGACAATTTCCCACCACACACGCTTCAAGACGTGGGAATAAGAAATTTTTACTTCCAAGACTGAAGCAGACGATGCTTGGTAAATTTTTTAGCGACAACCCCCGTAGAATAGGCACCACATTAACATTGAGACGTGAAGCTTTATCATCCTGTCCAAATACTTCCGTTAATTGAGGAGCTTCTCTTACTTCGAGATTTGTTAGTTGTGGAAGTCCTGCGGCAATGATGACTGGAAAGAGACTCTTCAACTTGTTGCATTGGCTGACCTCAATGTCACACAAACTAGGGAAGCATAAAGATTGGAGACGAGTTTCTGACAATATCTGATCCTTGTCATCATCATCCTTGGCAATGATTTCCTCCAATTCCTCACACCTTGATATCGTTAGAACTTTCAGTTGAAGCAGACTAGCAATCATGCTGGATGGGAGTATATGTCTCAGTCCATTGCAATTAACCACCTCCAAAGTAGTCAAATTTTTCAGCATGAGGCCCTTGCATATACTCCTCAAGTCAGGCAGAGAGCTCAACTTTAATGTTTCCAAACTCAAGAGTGAAAGTTCATGCCCATCTCTTCTATTAGTTACAAAACTTCTAACCTGCATTACCTCTTCTACTCCTTCACAATCTTCAATGCTTAAACTTCTCAAATTTGTTAAGCCCTGCATCAAAAGAAAACAAGGGTACTTTGGAACTAAAATTAATAAGTCCTAAACCAATGGGATTTATTTGGAAAGATTCATAAGAATTTGAGTAGCTTATAACTCTAATAATGTTAGCTTACTTTTAAACTTGGATTTTACTCTATAAACTTGATCTTTACTTGATTTTCAAAGCTAATAGAATATCATTAATGAGAAGAAATGGTAAGGTGTTCAGTGTAATGATGGCTCGTGGCAGTTGCAAACCAGTGAAAATTTTATTTATGGTTTGCTAATAGCTAGGCTGGTTTCCATTAATTTGCTATGGCAGCCATCATTATAATAAGCATTTTTTATTAAAATAAAAAATAGTGGAGAAAGATTAAAGAACGCACCAGCAGCTTTGCCAACAAATTACCCAATTGGTTGTGGCCTATAATTTGCAGATCTTGCAAAGAAGGCAATTCGGCAGCAAAATTTTTTGAACCAAAAAAGTTGAGATTTGATCCGGATCTAGAAAGCTCTAACTTTCTTAGTTGAGGAAACACGATGATGCCATCTCCATCTGTTGTGGGTACATCTTCTCCTTCTCCACTGCCAAATATTTGCTTTAATTTAGAGGCACCTTGAATCTGTATCGCTTCTAGATTGAGAAGACTTGGAGCCGCAGACACAGGAAAGACATATTCCAGTTCCCAACAACAGCCCATGGAGAGTGTTTTTAATTTTGGGAAGCAAATAGAGACTGGAATTATTTCCCCCTCATAATTATCATCCTTACTTGTGATAATATGCTCCAATTCACTGCAATTATATATCACAAGTGTTTCTAGTTGTGGTAGACACTGAGCCAGCGACGGTGTGAAGATGAATTTGAGTTCAAAGAGAGAATCCAATTTTAGATGAATAAGACCTTGGAGGCTTACATGTCGGGTAGGCCCCTTCCATATACACTTGAGTTTATGTAAGTATCCCAATACTAACTCCGTTAAAGATGACAGCAGCAGCACCTTCTCCTCATCGCTTACTTCCGCAACCTCACCCAATTCAAATACCTCTTTCAATGCTTGGCAATTAAAAATTCTCACCCTCCTTAGATTTTTCAAAGGTCGCCACAATTTTGCTGGAAACAGAGTACACATATCACGACAATTACTTACTTCAACACATTCTAACTGCCGTAAGAACCGCTGTTGCTGCTCATGCGTGGTCATCTGATCAGGGGACCATATTATATTTTTTAAGCCTTCCACATACCTCAAATCTAATTGAGATACACCAGGTAACAAGTGCTCAAATGTCTTTGCATTTAGGGATGTGGCGCTGATAGAATGGAAAGTCAATCTTCTGCAGGTTTGGTAACTTCCGATCATCTTCAAAAACCATGGAAACCCTAGATAACTCTTGACTCCTAATACTATTTCATATTTAAGCAACTTGGGGAAAAAAAAATCTCTGGGAATGTATTTGATCTCTGGTATGCTCAACGATAACACAGAAAGATGAGACAATGAATTTAGTTCTGTTAGGCTTGCATTCATTCCTCCTCTGCTTGTCCCACCAACACCCCATTTCTTAAAGCTGTCATCCCCAATCAACAGTTCTTCTAACTTCTTCAACCTTCCAATCAAATTCACTGGAATCCTTCTTAGATTCATACAATCTGTCAAATCCAACAACCTTAAGTTCTCGAGCTCCCCTATTTCTTCAGGCAATTCTTCAATCGAGGAGCAGCCCAAAAAACCAAGAATCTTAAGTCTTAGCAGCTTTCCCAACGAAATGGGGTCCTTGCATTCACACTCAATAAACTGCAGGGATTGAAGGTTCGTTGAGCATTCAAGTGATTCCAATGACAAACACCCTCCATTTAGAGACAAAACTTCCAATGCTTTCATCCCTTCAAAAAACTTAGATGGAACATCCAGGCTATCTTTCAATTCTAATAACAAAACTTTGAGCTGTGGACATACTAATCCTTCACGAAGTTCTGTCAGTCTATTGCCCATTAACGAAATAGTTGTGCAATCTTCAAAGCTTTCAAAACTCCCGGGCCACTCTTTTAACCCAGTGCCAGTCTTTAGTACGAAATCAAATTCATTTGATGATGATGCTATTTGAATAGCAACATCACGAACCAAGTCATGCATTTTCACACGTTCTTCAATTTCAGTGCCCAAAAGCATACAACAATCCTTGAGGTTTTTAACAGCCACACACACTTGTTTCCTTGCATCTTCAATGGACTCCGCATCTCGATGTAGCCCACAGACAACTCCATATCTCGTCAAGTCCTCAATTGGAATGTCGTAATCTTCTGGAAATAAACAACATAGTAAGAAACATAGCTTGGTTTCCTTGAGCTTTAAATAATCATAACTCAACTTAAGACATGCATATGCATTTTCTTGTTCGTCAACTTGTTCCATCAGCAATTGAGAGTTTTTGAGCTGTTTATATGCTGCTTCCCACTGAAATTTAGGCTGATCTCTGAGAGCCCTTCCCACTGTCACGAGTGCTATAGGCAAGCCTTTGCATTCTCTCGCAACCTCCTTTGCCACTTTGTTCAATGCAGAGTTATCATCACGTAAACCTGCTTTCGTTTTGAATAAAGCCCATGCTTCATTTTGAGACAACTCTCTTAAAAACACCTTTGGCTGGCATTTCATAGAAGAACATACGGTTTGAAGAAGTGTTGTTAGAAGAATTTTACAACCCATGTGATCATCTCCATATGCGATCCCTATCTCTCGTAAGTCAATATATTTCCAAACATCATCTAGGATGATAAGCATCTTCTTCTCTTTCTGTAATCTTTGCCATACTTGTTTTGCTCTCCCTTCTGTGCTCCTTTGTTCAAACTTCAGACCCAGACTATCTGCCATTTGATACTGAATGTTGGTGACATTTGGATGCTGGGACACTGCTACCATCAAAACTTGATCAAAAAGCTGCAATTCTTTGACTCTCCTGCCTGCTTCTTTCACCAGGGTGGTTTTACCCACCCCTCCCATTCCATACAGTCCGATCATATTGATGTTGTTGCCTTTGAGTGCTTCCATAATCTGTTTGAAAGCTTCTTTTGACGATTCTGAAGGTGTAAAATCCTTTCTTGGAAGAAATTCTATATCTGGAAGAGGAGCTTTGTGGGACAACGTTGGAAAATTTTTGCTTTTCTCTTCGAGTTTACTGAAAGTCTCTTTCTTCTTTGCCAATGCCTTGCTTAGCTTGTATTGTCGCATCCAATACGGACACCAAGTAAAGCATTTGCCATTTTTTCCTATTTCATCTTCGAAACGCTTCACATCTTCAATTTCTTTGTTTGCATCTTCCAGCCACTTGTTGACATCTTTCTCGATTTCTTCAGAATTCCTTTCAGCAACTTTGGCAGCATTTTGCAGACGATCTAGTGCCAATGTCAGGTTCTGCTTTTGTTCATTGAATTCTTGAAGAAAATTGTTGAAACAGAACATATAACGGAATTGCCTTATTGCTGGTTCCACCGAGAGTTCTGTTATCTTAGATATAACGGATCCACCAACACTTTCGATAGCCATTTTCCACCGGTCTGAAAATCAGGGAAACAAGGATACCAACTGTGAGTGCAAGTCATTACAAGTAAAATAGGCATCGAGAGAATGAGAATAGGAATTTATAGTACCTTAATTTTTGAAATTCTTTGCGACAAGGGAAAGGCACCGGTACTGATTGACCAATAACATATAGCTACGAACAAAACAAAAATGCCTTGAGCTCGGTATGGAATCCATCTTCAAAAGCAACAAGGCAATTAGGCTATAACATAAGTTTACCATTTATTAAAGTCACTTGGGGTATTAACATTTTTTAAGACTATAATATCGTTATATTAATTTTTATTTATTGGGAAAAACATTAATCTTAAATTATTGCAATGTTGTTGATAAGGCACGGACTCCTGATGCCATTGTCTTGTCAATAGAAACACCCTATTATCCACGGGTAGAAATAAAATAATAATAATAATAATAATTCAATCAAAATTGCATTATAATTCAAGGTCATTTATAAAAAGTAACTTTTCTTTCACTTCTTTCTCACAAGCAGTTCTTTGAGAGTTTTCCTCAACGATATAGAAAATGAGTGGTATAGTGATTGAAATAATGCTTTCTCAAGGTTTTGGTAAGAATTATAGAACGGAAATTATTTTTAATCAAAAGGATCTTATATTCAAGATTTTTAATGGTGCATTGATACTGTGATAGAAAGTTTGGATCAAATATTCAAATAGTGTCACAAGTGTGTAAATGTTAAATGTTCAGTTTTTTATTCAATTATATTAAGAAATTTTGGCATGTATTTGCTTTTTTATCATGACATAGTATATTTTACATGAGAATGGATATTAGAAACATATGATTAAGAATGGTGTTTTCGAATTAAAATCTTGCTTAATCATAACTTTGAGATGGTTATATAATTATTTATCAAGTTTTAAAGTATTTGAAGAAAAAAATTATATTGGTAGTGTTTTTTCATCATTATTTTTTATTGTTGCTATAATGTTACAATTTTTATTATTATGTTAGAATTTTTTATACTCTCCAATCTGATTTGCAAAAATCATAGTTTTTCTATTAAAAAAACACTTATTCCAGGGAGTTTGCATGTTAGACAAACATGTATACAGCAATAGAACTACAAGGAGCAAGCTACCAACAAAGAGTGATAATTACTCACCTGAATTGTTTCTTACAAAGCTCTGTCACACAAAAGCCACAGAAGATCTTTCTCCAGAGAACAAGTTGACCAATCTCACTACCTGTAAATATAAAACAAAAATACAGACAATTAATTCAAGTTAAGAGGAGAATGGAAGTTCGAAGTTGAAATTAAACACACAGATGCAAGGAAGGGTAAACAAAAATTAACCCTTATTTTTCAGAGTTCAGACATGCAGTTGAAAGAAACACAGAACAGGAGTTGAAGATCAGAAGATTTCAGACTCCAGATTAATCATTTACATGTAAACTACATTGAAGAAAAATAATCTAGATCTGTAACATTGTTTTTAAAGGGTGATAATTACTCACCTGAATTGTTTCTTACAAAGCTCTGTCGCACAAAAGCCACAGAAGATCTTTCTCCAGAGAACAAGTTGACCAATCTGAAGACCGATAATCAGCAAGCCTGGAGACTATAGAGAGCTAGAGAGGGTGAGTCAACGATAATATGTGGCTCCCAGCTAGGCAGCTACCAACCAACTCTCAGCCAATCAGCCAATCATGTACTCTACTTTCAGAATGGGCTTGGATCCACTGTGGTTACCGTACTTTTTTCTTCTAATATTTTCATGATTCTATATCTCTTTTCTTAATTTAGGTTTTTTAAGGATATATAGTGACTTTATCTTTTTCATTTTTATAGAATGTCATTACATATTTGGATTGAGATATTTTATAATCTATCTTTTTTATGTGGTGTATTATTAAGATGTGTCATTAATTATATTCATGTTTAATTTGTAGAGTAATTGTTTTTTTCCTTTTGATAAATCGACTTTTTGACATGTCAAATATTATCATTTTTCAGCTTTTTATGTGACTTTTCTTTCTTTTTTTTATTTTTTTGTTTTTGTTATTAATATTGATTGACATTCAATTAAACATAAGTGATAAAAATCTCATTATCTTCTTTATGTGATATATTTTAAATTCTATCATAAATTACATTTCTCTATTTTATAGAATTATTATTTTTTTAGTGGGATAGATTTTTTATATTTACTTAAAACATCAAATATTATCATTTGGTCTTCATTTTTCATCGATTGGGATGGCTTTTCTTTTCCTTTTATTTTATGTTTGTTTATTTTATTTATTCATTTATTCAAATATAAACCAAGTTATCTAATAAATCATATAATAAAAAAAATGGTTTTACACGAGGCGGCAAAATCAAGAAAATTTGGTATGACAAACTTAGTTGGATTTATAAATTGTAGGAAAAAGTCGGCTTGCTTTTTCATACTTAAACAATTATTTGCAGAAAGAGCCCTCATAAATAAGTAAATCTAAACTTTGCCATTTATGTTTTACTTTTCTTCATGTAAGGACAAGTTGTTTTCCAGAAAAATGGTAGTATCTACATCATAGACTGAAGCGGCGATTTTGTCTCTCTGCCACTGCTAATTTTCTCTTCAAATCTACACACTTCTTTTCAAAATTCTCTAGCTTCTCATACGAAAGGCAGTTTATGCATAAAGGTACTATTTTTCTCTCTCTCACTTTATTATATCCAAGATTCTGTTGATACTTTTGTTTATTTCCATGTTTTTGGGACTGGGCTCTTTTCATTTTTCTCGGTTTCTAAGAACTGATGGAATGTGGAAGAAAGTGACAATTTGGTCATCTGGTTCTTGTTGTTTTGGCTTAAAAGGCTTTAAAAAGTTCAAACTTTGCTGCTATTCAAACTACAAAGGCTTGTTGAAGTATAAGCCTCTTGTTTCTTTCGAATTTGGAATCGCTGAAGGTTGAACTTTGATAATAGTTTTCTAATCCTACATTTTACCAGTAATCCAACAATGCATTGATTTTAGTGAAGTCATATTTTATTTGCTCTATTTGTTAGCTTGCTAAGCACTAACTTTTTTTTTCTTGGGCGAGAGTTCTATTTATTATTCTTTTCTTTTTTTAAAAAAAAAAAGTTTTTTTGTAGCTTTGCTGGTGAGGGCCTATTGGGGATTTTAAGGGATTTGGTAATTTAAGTAATTTCTTTGCGGGGTTGTGATATAATTATTGTTGTTCAACAGTGCAAGGTGTTGGTGAACTGAAATGAGTGTGGTTGGGTTTGATATTGGCAATGAAAACTGTGTTATTGCTGTGGTGAAGCAACGGGGAGTTGATGTGTTGTTGAATGATGAATCAAAACGTGAAACCCCGGCTGTGGTATGTTTTGGGGAGAAGCAGCGGTTCCTTGGGTCAGCAGGTGCTGCTTCTGCTGTGATGAACCCAAAATCGACTATATTTCAAGTGAAGAGACTGATCGGCCAGAAATTTAAGGATCCTGAGGTTCGAAATGAGCTGAAGATGTTACCATTTGAAACTTCTGAAGGGAAGGATGGAGGCATTTTGATTCACTTGAAATATTTGGGTGAGACACATACATTTACCCCGGTTCAGATATTGGCAATGCTGTTTTCACATCTGACAGATATAGCAGAGAAAAATTTGGAAATTCATGTCACTGATTGTGTGATCGGGGTACCGTCATATTTCAGGGACTTGCAGAGACGGGCATATTTGGATGCTGCAACCATTGCTGGGTTGAAGCCTCTGAGATTGGTGCATGACTGTGCTGCAACAGCACTTAGTTATGGTATATACAAAACAGATTTCTCTAATGCAGGGCCAACATATGTTGCATTTGTTGACATTGGTCATTGCGATACTCAGGTGTCTATTGTGTCGTTTGAGGCTGGGCATATGAGGATACTGTCGCATGCTATTGATAGCAGTTTGGGACGGAGGGACTTTGATGAGGTTTTGTTTGGTTATTTTGCGAAACAGTTCAAGGAGCTTTACAACATAGATGTGTATTCTAATGTGAGGGCATCTGTTAGGTTAAGGTCAGCATGTGAGAAGTTGAAGAAGGTTTTGCGTGCAAATGCAGAGGCACCTTTAAATATTGAATGCTTGATGGATGAGAAAGACGTTAGAGGTTTTATTAAGAGAGAGGACTTTGAGAGGCTTGCATCAGGATGATCGATATCTTTCAAAAAACATAACCAACTCCTTATCACGGAATCTCCGAATCGGTGTCCGTTTTAGGTTCCTAGTTCCTTTAATATTAGGTGGCGATTTCAAACTCTGTAAATAAAAATTAACTCTTAGATTTAATTTAAGATATTTTTAAAGAGTCCCGTCCAACGTTGGATAGCGACAAATCACTTAATTTTTTCATCAATTTTCTGCCATACTAGTGAATTTTTTTCTCAAATTGTTGTTTTATGCCTTTTTTTTTTTTTTTATCTACTCCCTTTGTGTCTCCTCAACAAAAATCAAAAGAAGTGCAATTTTGAAATAAAAATTATTAATCTAATGAAAAACTTATGAAAGAACTAAGTTTTGATATAATTAAAATATGGGGGACTAAATAGTTAGTTTTTGAGAGAAAAAACACTAGTTAATTTGTTTCTGTAAACCAAAGGGACAATTTAAAATTTGCTCGTTAAAAATCTAACCCCACATATAGAAAAAATGTTTGCAGAACCATGGCTCCAACCTTTTCCCTCGGCTCCTTTCAAGCTTAATTACCAATGTGTTTACGCAAGAAAGCCATCTCACAGTCTGTTTGAATCTCTTGGCATTGTACTATAAAGGCTCACACAAAAGGCAAGTCCTTCCTTTTTCTCTGTCGAAAATACTAAAACTAAGGGACGCAAAACCCTAAGAAGCAAATAAAACTAAAGAGAAAAACAAAGATAGAAAAGAAGAAAAAGAAATCATAGGGAGTAGAGATTGGAAGCTTTCGTAAAGGAACTTTATGCTGGAATAATTTTTGCTTGATTGGCGCTTTATGTTTTGTCTTTTTGATTAATCCCTTTACCTTTGTCTTGTGTCTATTTTTGACTATTATTTTTATTCTATAGTTTCCAATCTTATAAAACTTTTTGTCATAATAAATAAGGAACTTTTTTTATGTGGAAAATTTTGTCCTTTGTAGGAACGGAATATGCAAGGAATATAGAAATAATAGTTTGAAAGTGGAGAATATTGGTTGGGTTGGATGGCAGTTGTCGAACATATATTTTGATTATATTTTATGTAGACATTTTTTTTCCTTGTAGTTTGCGGGTGAAGGAATACAAAATTATAACTTTTTTCTATAGAAAAGAGATTGATATAGCAATTCATTTATGCTTCCATCTTTATTGTGCTTTTGCCTCCTCAATTTTCATGAATAATGAGGCAATTTACTTTACTTTTTTGTTCAATGGTAAGAATGATTTTATTTATATATACTCTATTTATTTGAAATTGGATTTTCTTTATAATTAAATTCTGTTTTTTTTTTATTGAGACATTCTACTTTTTGGTTTTGAAAAATGACGTTTCAAAAATTGAAAAAATTCAATTTGGCTTTGAAAAATGACGTTTCAAAAATTGAAAAAATAATTTGATAAAAAATAAAATATTTTAGGAGATAAATTCGGAACTAAACCGGACGTGGTACCTTTCTTCGAAAAGAGTGCTTTTGGATGATCGATATCTTCCCAAAAGCGTATCCAACTCATTATCATAGAATCTTTGAATCGAGTGTCCGTTTTAGGTTCTTAGTTCCTTCAATATTAAGTGGTGACTCCAAACTTCGTAAATAAAAATTAACTCTTAGATTTAATTTTAGATATTTTCAAGGAGTCCGATCCGACATCGAGCGGCGATAAACAACTTAATTTTTTCATCAATTTTCTGCCATACTAGTGAATTTTTTTCTCAAATTGTTGTTTTATGCCTTTTTTTTTTTTTTAACCTACTCCCTTTGTGTATCCTCAACCAAAAATCAAAAGAAGTGCAATTTTGAAATAAAAATTATTAATCTAATGAAAAACTTATGAAAGAAATAAGTTTTTGATATAATTAAAATATGAGAGACTAAATAGTTAGTTTTTGAGAGAAAAAACACTAGTTAATTTGTTTCTGTAAACCAAAAGGACTAATTTAAAATTTACTCGTTAAAAATCTAACCCCACATATAGAAAAATGTTTGCAGAGCCATGGCTCCAACCTTTTCCCTCGGATAGATGTTTATTGCAATGAAAGATTATATTTTTCAAGAAAAGGATTTCATTTTTTCTTTTTTTCCAAAGCTAAGTGAAGTGGGCTCGAGAACTTTTAAATTTTGTGTTAGAAAAAGATATTTAAGTCGGGTCATCCATTAAGAGTTGACCCGATAACAAAATTATTTAAAAGAAAAATCAAGAATGTAGTTGTTTGTTATTTTTATTCATAGTTTTTATTACATTTATATAAGATAATTTTTTTTTTTTTTTTTTTTATGTTAGAATGCTGCCTCAAATTTATAAGTTCTTGCCAGAGAATGTTATAAATTTTATAAGTAGAAAAAAAAATTGCCAATTGTGGGAATTTTAGACTTTTTTGGGTGCTCCACAACTATCTCAAGGTTCCATTCCATGCAAGGTTAAAAATTGAAGGGAGTTTTACCAGAATACTATTATCCTATTTTATTTTATTTTAATACAAAAAACTAACTTTATTGATACAAAATATAACATATTATAAATACATTGTCATTGCAATCTTCTACCCAAACAATTTTTTATTAAAAAACAAAAAACTAAAATAAAGCATAATAATATAGACGTATTCAAACTAACATTATAAATCCTTGTAAGTTAAAAGAAGCAATTCTCATAATATATAATTCCGTGACATATAAATTAAAGCAATATGCGAAATATAAAGACAATAACAAACAAATAAAAATAGAATCTATACAAACAATCACCTGATATACCACATCTTTATTGCTTCACAACAAATATAATTAAATCTAAGCTATGATAGGGTTTGTCTTTTTTTTTTTTTTTTAATGATGAATAGGGGAAAATTAAAGAAAATACTTGAAAAGTACAATGAATGGAACGGACCAAACTTAGGCAACTAAAAGTAATTAATTGTCTATGAATATACCTAAATCACACACTCAAGGAATACGATGTACCTATGAAGGATAAAGAGAGAATCCTTACTTCAAGTTTGATTTACTTTCAATTTATTTATTTATATATATGCACTTGGCGAAAGGCTTTATGGGTAAGCGAAAACATTACCAATATGTACAAAACCAATTTAAGGCACGTAAGAAATCAGCCTTTCAAACCAGCCATGCAATTTTAAAAATAAATAAATAAGTTGCAGCTTTAGGAGAATAACTTCTGCCTAGTGCCTACCCAATAAAAAAAAAAAATATTACCTTCAAATTTATTGAATTAGTTTTGAATTTTAAAACACCAGCAGCCATACCTTTTGGGCAGTCATCAACTATTAGCATATTTTTTGAACTCTGATGGCAAGAGTAATCATCCGATTCAGTGTCCTATCCACCACTAGCTCTCAAAATCAGAATCTTGTTCTTCCCACCCACCATCTCTGGTCCACATTTTGTAGGTGCTGCTTGGCATGGCGCAACTACTGCTTGACGCTTCAGCAACCTGAGATACCTGCAAACCAATTGAAGCATGACTTACATATTACAATTTGTTAAATCTTATTATTGAGCAAACCAAGAAACAAACATGCTACTGAAGATAGGAGAGATTGGCCACAAATAAAATCAAAGAGCGACACCTCTGATTGAGCACTCATTGAACCATCTGGTGCAACAGTGAATTGTGTTGCCATCTTAGGACAATTTCCCACCACACACGCTTCAAGACATGGGAATAAGAAATTTTTACATCCAAGACTGAAGCAGACGATGCTTGGTAAATTTTTTAGCGACAACCCCCGTAGAATAGGCACCACATTAACATTGAGACGTGAAGCTTTATCATCCTGTCCAAATACTTCCGTTAATTGAGGAGCTTCTCTTACTTCGAGATTTGTTAGTTGTGGAAGTCCTGCGGCAATGATGACTGGAAAGAGACTCTTCAACTTGTTGCATTGGCTGACCTCAATGTCACGCAAACTAGGGAAGCATAAAGATTGGAGACGAGTTTCTGACAATATCTGATCCTTGTCATCATCATCCTTGGCAATGATTTCCTCCAATTCCTCACACCTTGATATCGTTAGAACTTTCAGTTGAAGCAGACTAGCAATCATGCTGGATGGGAGTATATGTCTCAGTCCATTGCAATTAACCACCTCCAAAGTAGTCAAATTTTTCAGCATGAGGCCCTTGCATATACTCCTCAAGTCAGGCAGAGAGCTCAACTTTAATGTTTCCAAACTCAGGAGTGAAAGTTCGCTTCCACCTCTTCTATTAGTTACAAAACCTCCAACCTGCATTACCTCTTCTACTCCTTCACAATCTTCAATCCTTAAATTTCTCAAATTTGTTAAGCCCTGCATCAAAAGAGAACAAGGGTAAGATTTTGTTGGATATAATTCTTAGTAATTTTAACTTACTTTGAAACTATAATTTTGGTAAACAGAAAATTATAATCAGAAAGACTTGAATAGACAGAGCATGGCATTGTGAGATCCATTGCATGTATTTTGTTAAAGATGTCATGGGAAATGATGATTTCCCATTATGCTACAGGAACCATCCTCTTGTATATGTGCATAAAAGAAACATGAAATATAACTTGAAGTCTGAAACAAACTGAAGAATAAACTAAGAGACTGGGGAGATGGGCTGACAATAAACTCAAACAAGATTACCTCTGGCTTAGCACTCGTAGAATGATTTGCTGCAACAGCGAGCATTGCGGTCATCTTGGGACATTTTTCCACCTCTAACTCTTCCAATCTTGGAAATATGAAATCGTAAGTTGCAGTACTGAAGCAGACAAGGCTTGGTGATCCATTTAATGATAGCTCGAGTAGATTAGGGAAGCATAAAGATTTGAGATGCTCGGTTCCCAATAAGATTTGATCCATTTCACCATCATTATCCATAGCAATGATTTCCTCTAATTCCTCACACACTGATATCTTTATAACTTTCAGTTGAAGCAGACTGCCAATCATGCTGCATGGAAATAAATGTCTCAGTCCATTGCAATTAACCACCTCCAAAGTAGTCAAATTTTTCAGCACGAGGCCCTTGCATATACTCCTCAAGTCAGGCAGAGAGCTCAACTTTAATGTTTCCAAACTCAGGAGTGAAAGTTCACTTCCACCTCTTCTATTAGTTACAAAACTTCCGACCTGCATTACCTCTTCTACTCCTTCACAATCTCCAATGCTTAAATTTCTCAAATTTGTTAAGCCCTGCATCAAAAGAGAACAAAGGTAAGATTTTGTTGGATATAGTTCTTAGTGATTTCTACATACTTTGAAACTATAATTTTGGTAAATAGAAAATTATAAACAAAAAGACTTGAATAGACAGAGCATGGCATTGTGAGATCCATTGCGTGTATTTTGTTAAAGACGTCATGGGAAATGATGATTTCCCATTATGCTACAGGAGCCATCCTCTTAAATATATGCATAAAAGAAACATGAAATATAACTTGAAGTCTGAAATAAACGGAAGAATAAACTAAGAGACCAAGGAGATGGGCTGACAATAAACTCAAACAAGAGTGCCTCTGGCTTAGCACTCGTAGAATGATTTGCTGCAACAGCGAGCATTGCGGTCATCTTGGGACATTTTTTCACCTTTAACTTTTCCAATCTTGGAAATATGAAATCGTAAGTTGCAGTACTGAAGCAGACAAGGCTTGGTAATCTTTGTAATGATAGCTCGAGTAGATTAGGGAAGCATAAAGATCTGAGATGCTCGGTTCCCAATAAGATTTGATCCATTTCACCATCATCCATAGCAATGATTTCCTCCATTTCCTCACACCCTGATATCTTTAGAACTTTCAGTTGAAGCAGACTGTCAATCATGCTGGATGGAAATAAATGTCTCAGTCCCTTACAATCAATCACCTCCAAAGTAGTCAAATTTTTCAGCACGAGACCCTTGCATATACTCCTCAAGTCAGGCAGAGAGCTCAACTTTAATGTTTCCAAACTCAAGAGTGAAAGTTCATGCCCACCTCTTCTATTAGTTACAAAACTTCCAACCTGCATTACCTCTTCTACTCCTTCACAATCTTCAATGCTTAAATTTCTCAAATTTGCTAAGCCCTGCATCAAAAGAAAACAAAGGTAAGATTTTGTTGGATATAGTTCTTAGTGATTTTTACTTACTTTGGAACTAAAATTAATAAGTCCTAAACCAATGGGATTTATTTGGAAAGAATCATAAGATTCATAAGAATCATAAGGATTTTACTCTATAAACTTGATCTTTAGCCTTGATTTTGAAAGCTAATAGAATATCATTAGCTTATAACTCTAATAATGTGTTTAGAAGGCCTTCCAATTTGGTCAAAAAAATAAAAAAAAACAAGTAGGCATTGATTTTTTTTAATAATTCTTTCGCACCATAATTATATGTAAACAGAAAGACAAATATAAACAGTGCATGTATACATGCTTAAATGAAATATATCTGTAACTGGAAGTCTGAAACAAACAAAAGAATTAACAAACATTCTAAGAGTTTGGGGAAATGGGCAAACAAATAAAGAGTACCTCTGGCTTAGTAAACAATAAACATTCTAAAGGATCCATTAGCATTCATCCCCTCTTATCCATAATTTAGATGAAGAAAGAAGAAAATTAAATATTAAAATTGTACTTCTAAAATAAAAATTAAAGAAATAGTGGAGAAAGATTAAAGAACGCACCAGCAGCTTTGCCAACAAATTACCCAATTGCTTGTGGCCCTCAATTTGTAGATCTTGCAAAGAAGGCAATTCAGCAGCAAAATTGTTTGAACCAAAAAAGTTGAGATTTGATCCGGATCTAGAAAGCTCCAACTTTCTTAGTTGAGGAAACAGGATGATGCCATCTCCATCTGTTGTGGGTACATCTTCTCCTTCTCCACTGCCAAATATCTGCTTTAATTTATCGGCATCTTCAATATGTATCTCTTCCAGGTTCAGAAGCCTTCGAGCCACAGACACGGGAAAGACATATTCCAGTTCCCAACAACAGCTTATGGAGAGTGTTTTTAATTTTGGGAAGCAAATAGAGTCTGGAATTATTTCCCCCTCATAATTATCATCCTTACTTGCGATAATATGCTCCAATTTACAACAATCTTCTATCTGAAGTGTTTCTAGTTGTGGTAGACACTGAGCCAGGGACGGTGTGAAGATGAATTTGAGTTTGAAGAGACTCCACAAATTCAGACGAGTAAGACTTTGGAGGCTTACATGTCGGGTAGGCCCCTTCCATATACACTGCAGAGTAGGTAACTCTTCCAATACTAACTCCGTTAAAGATGACAGCAGCAGCACCTTCTCCTCATCGCTTACTTGATCAACCTCACCCAATACAAATACCTCTTCCAATTTGTCGCAATGTCGAATACTCGCGCTCCTTAGATTTTTCAAAGCTCGCCACGATTTTGCTGGAAACAGAGTACACATATCACCACAATTACTTACAAGAACACATTCTAACTGCCGTAAGAACCCCTGTTGCTGCTCATGCGTGGTCATCTGATCGGGGGACCATATTATATTTTTTAAGCCTTCCACAAAACTCAAATTTAATTGAGATACACCAGGTAACAAGTGCTCAAATGTCTTTGCATTTAGGGATGTGGCGCTGATACAACCGAAAGCCAATCTTCTGGAGGTTGGGTAACTTCTTTCGAGCATCTCCAAATGCCATGGAAACCTTGGATAACTCTTGACTCCTAATAATATTTCATATTTAAGCAACTTAGGGAAAACAAAATCTCTAGGAATGTATTTGATCTCTGGTATACTCAACGATAACACAGAAAGATGAGACAATGAATTTAGTTCTGTTAGGCTCGCATTCATTCCTCCTCTGCTTGTCCCACCCACACCCCATTCCGTAAAGCTTTTATCCCCAATCAACAGTTCTTCTAACTTCTTCCACCTTCCAATCAAATTCACAGGAATCCTTTCTAGCCTCCGACAACTTCTCAAATCCAACAACCTTAAGTTCTCGAGCTCCCCTATTTCTTCAGGCAATTCTTCAATCGAGGAGCAGCCCAAAAAACCAAGAATCTTAAGTCTTAGCAGCTTTCCCAACGAAATGAGGTCCTTGCATTCACACTCAATAAACTGCAGGGATTGAAGGTTCGTTGAGCATTCAAGTGATTCCAATGACAAACACCCTCCATTTAGAGACAAAACTTCCAATGCTTTCATCCCTTCAAAAAACTTACATGGAACATCCAGGCTATCTTTCAATTCTAATAACAAAACTTTGAGCTGTGGACATACTAATCCTTCACGAAGTTCTGTCAGTCTATTGCCCATTAACGAAATAGTTGTGCAATCTTCAAAGCTTTCAAAACTCCCGGGCCACTCTTTTAACCCAGTGCCAGTCTTTAGTACGAAATCAAATTCATTTGATGATGATGCTATTTGAATAGCAACATCACGAACCAAGTCATGCATTTTCACACGTTCTTCAATTTCAGTGCCCAAAAGCATACAACAATCCTTGAGGTTTTTAACAGCCACACACAATTGTTTCCTTGCATCTTCAATGGACTCCGCATCTCGATGTAGCCCACAGCCAACTCCATATCTCGTCAAGTCCTCAATTGGAATGTCGTAATCTTCTGGAAATAAACAACATAGTAAGAAACATAGCTTGGTTTCCTTGAGCTTTAAATAATCATAACTCAACTTAAGACATGCATATGCATTTTCTTGTTCGTTGAATTCCTTTCAGCAACTTTGGCAGCATTTTGCAGACGATCTAGTGCCAATGTCAGGTTCTGCTTTTGTTCATTGAATTCTTGAAGAAAATTGTTGAAACAGAACATATAACGGAATTGCTTTATTGCTGGTTCCACCAAGAGTTCTGTTATCTTAGATATAACGGATTCACCAACACTTTCGAGAGCCATTTTCCACCAGTCTAAAAATCAGGGAAATAAGGATACCAACTGTGAGAACGAGTCATTACAAGTAAAAATAGGCATTGAGAGAATGAGAATAGGAATTTATAGTACCTTAATTTTTGAAATTCTTTGCGACAAGGGAAAGGCACCCGTACTGATTGACCGATAAGATATAGCTACGAACAAAACAAAAATGCCTTTAGCTCGGTATGGAATCCATCTTCAAAAGCAATAAGGCAATTAGGCAACAACTTAAGTTTACCATTTATTAAAGTCACTTGGGGCATTAACATTTTTTAAGACTGTAATATCGTTATATTAATTTTTATTTATTGGGAAAAAATTTAATTTTTAAGAATCTTATATTCAAGATTTTTAATGAATGAAAATGTACAGAGGTGTATTGATATTGTGATAGAAAGTTAAAGTACAGAGGGGAATGGAAGTTCGAAGTTGAAATTAAACACACAGATTCAAGGAAGGGTAAACAAACATCATACCCTTATTTTTTCAGAGTTCAGACACTTGAAAGAAACAAAGAACAGGAGTTGAAGGTCAGAAGAGTTCAGACTCCAGATTAATCATTTACATGTAAACTACACTGAAGAAAAATAATCACCTGAATTGTTTCTTCCAAAGCTCTACCACATAAAAGCCACAGAAGATCCTTCTCCAGAGAACAAGTTACCCAATCTGAAGATCGATAATCAGCAAGCCAGGAGACTATAGAGAGCGAAAGAGGACGTGTCAACGATAATATGTGGCTCCCAGCTACCAACCAAATCTCAGCCAATCATGTAATCTACTTTTCAGAATGGGCTTGGATCCGTTGTGGTTTCCGTATATTGCTATTAACCCCTTTAACGTAAGTAGATCATTTTCATGCTTCCTTTCCTTTCAGGTCCACTTTAATATTCGTTTTTTGACAATAAATAAATAAAAGAGAAACAATCTTTTCATTCCAATATTTTCATGATTCTATATACCTTTTCTTAATTTGGGTTTTTTAAGGATATATAGTGACTTTATCTTTATCTCTTTTTTTTATTTTTATAAAATGCCATTATATAGAGATGTTTTATGATCTGTCATTCTTTTTATGTGATATATTTTTAAGATGTGTCATTAATTATATTTGTGTTTAATTTGTAGAGTAATTGTTTTTTTTTTTTGGTAAATTAACTTTTTTACATGTAATTGAAATGTCAAAAATTATCATTTTCAGCTTTTTTATGTAACTTTTCTTTCTTTTTTCTTTATTTTTTTTATTAATATTAATTGACATTCAAATAAACATAAGTGATAAAAATCTCATTATCTTTTTTATTTGATATATTTTAAAATTCTATCATAAATTACGTTTCCCTATTTTATAGGATTTTTTTTTTTTTAGTAAGAGATTTTTGATATTTACTTGAAACATCAAATATTATCATTTGGTCTTTTATTTTTCATTGTTTTGGGTGACTTTTCCTTTCTTTTTATTTTATTTTATTTATTTATATATTCATTCAAATATAAACCAAGTTATCTAATAAATCATATAATAAAAAAAATTTGGTTTTACATGAGACGGCAAAATCAAGAAAATTTGTTACGACAAACTTTGTTGGATTTATAAATTGTAGGAAAATGTCGTTTGCTTTTTCATAATCACACCGGTCAATTACAAAGACAGTTATTTGCAGAAAGAGCCCTTATAAATAAATAAATGTATGCTAGTGCCATTTATGTTTTACTTTTCTTCATGTAAGGGCAAGTTGTTTTCCAGACGGTTATTTGCATCTACATCATCGACTCAAGCGGCCATTTTGTCTCTCTAGCAACGCTAACTTTATCTTCAAATCTACACACTTCTTTTCAGAATTCTCTAACTTCTGATACGAAACGCAGTTTATGCATAAAGGTACTATTTTTCTCTCTCTCACTTTATTATATCCAAGATTCTGTTGATACTTTTGTTTATTTCCATGTTTATGGGTCTGGGCTCTTTTCATTTTTCTTGGTTTCTAAGAGATTGATGGAATGTGGAAGAAAGTGACAATTTTGGTCATCTGGGTCTTGTTGTTTTGGCTTAAGTGGCTTTGAAAATTTCAAACTTTGCTGCTAGTCCAACTAAGCCTTTTGTTTCTTTCGAATTTGAATCGCTGAAGGTTGAACATTGATAATAGTTTTCTAATCCTACATTTTACTAGGAATCCAACAATGCATTCATTTTAGTGAAGTCATATTTTATTTGCTCTATTTGTTATCTTGCTAAGTACTAACTTTTATTTCTTAGGAAAGAGTTTTATTTATTATTCTAGTTTTTTTATTAAAAAAAAAAAAATTTTGTAGCTTTTCTGGTGGGGGCCTATTGGGGATTTTAAGGGATTTGGTAATTTAAGTGATTCCTTTGCGGGGTTGTGATATAATTGTTGTTGTTCAACAGTGCAAGGTGTTGGTGAACTGAAATGAGTGTGGTTGGGTTTGATATTGGTAATGAAAACTGTGTTATTGCTGTGGTGAAACAACGGGGAGTTGATGTGTTGTTGAATGATGAATCAAAACGTGAAACCCCGGCTGTGGTATGTTTTGGGGAGAAGCAGCGGTTCCTCGGGTCAGCAGGTGCTGCTTCTGCTGTGATGAACCCAAAATCGACTATATTTCAAGTGAAGAGATTGATCGGCCAGAAATTTAAGGATCCTGAGGTTCAAAATGAGCTGAAGATGTTACCATTTGAAACTTCTGAAGGGAAGGATGGAGGCATTTTGATTCACTTGAAATATTTGGGTGAGACACATACATTTACCCCGGTTCAGATATCGGCAATGCTGTTTTCACATCTGAAAGATATAGCAGAGAAAAATTTGGAAATTCAAGTCACTGATTGTGTGATCGGGGTACCATCATATTTCACGGACTTGCAGAGACGGGCATATTTGGACGCTGCAACCATTGCTGGGTTGAAGCCTCTGAGATTGATGCATGACTGTGCTGCAACAGCACTTAGTTATGGTATATACAAAACAGATTTCTCTAATGCAGGGCCAACTTATGTTTCATTTGTTGACATTGGTCATTGCGATACTCAGGTGTCTATTGTGTCATTTGAGGCTGGGCATATGAGGATACTGTCACATGCTTTTGATAGCAGTTTGGGAGGGAGGGATTTTGATGAGGTTTTGTTTGTTTATTTTGCAAAACAGTTCAAGGAGCTTTACAGCATAGATGTGTATTCTAATGTGAGGGCATCTATTAGGTTAAGGTCAGCATGTGAGAAGTTGAAGAAGGTTTTGAGTGCAAATGCAGAGGCACCTTTAAATATTGAGTGCTTGATGGATGAGAAAGACGTTAGAGGTTTTATTAAGAGGGAGGACTTTGAGAGGCTTGCATCAGGATTACTGGAAAGGATAAGTGTTCCTTCCAGAAAAGCCTTAGCTGATGCAGGTTTATCTGTGGGTAAAATCCACTCTGTTGAACTTGTTGGATCTGGATCTAGAATACCTGCAATTGCTAAGTTGTTATCTTCTCTATTTGGGAAAGAACCCAGCCGGACGCTGAATGCAAGTGAATGTGTGGCACGTGGATGTTCTCTCCAGTGTGCAATGCTTAGTCCAGTTTTTCGAGTCAGAGAATATGAGGTTTGTATTTATATGAATTATCCGTTTCTCAGAATTTTTCATATCAACTTATGCGGTTTGCCGTTCTTCCAGCTATCAGAGTGGCTTTCAATGTTTAACATCCCTTTTGCCCTTTGTTCTTCTAACGCAGTCTGATTAGTGCCGTAGTCAGATTTACCCAAACCATTGACTATTTTCTGCGCAATTTACCCAACAAGGGTTCATCACTATTAAACAAACCCCCACTCCCCAATAAAGCGGACCTGTTTTTTTTTTGTTTTTTTTTTCTGTTTTGATAGAATTTTTCACAGGTTATATCTGAGACTTGATTACATCATGTGCAATCACTCTCTATGCTCCTCACCGGTATCAATTATATTCAACTCCAAAATAACATTGCACAAATATAAAGATGTAAAATAATCTGCTGCATGCTGTTGTCTGGTATGTTCTTATGTACAAAAGAGTAATTGGCAGTTCATATCTTGTGCAGGTTCAAGATGCTTTTCCTTTCTCCATTGGATTCGTATCTGGTGGAGACCAAATTTCCACTGGCTCTAATGGCATACTGTTCCCAAAAGGCCAACCCTTTCCAAGCATCAAAGTCTTGACATTTCAGCGGAATAATTTGTTTAATCTGGAAGCATTCTATGCCAATCCGAATGAACTGCCTGCTGGTGTATCTACAAAAATTAGTTCTTTCACAGTAAGCCTCCTAAAGTTTGTTTGATATGAAACTTTAACATCCTTTTTTTTTTTCAATGATTCTGTGCTATGCTCCTTGGGAACTAGATGAATCTTTAAATGAAGCATGATGACATATAAGTTGATGAGATAAATATTATTTTTATGCAGATTGGTCCTTTTCAAGCCTCATCTAATGAAAAGGCAAGGATTAAAGTTAAAGTTCAACTAAACCTTCACGGCATTCTAACTGTTGAGTCAGCTATGGTAAAAGGATTTCCCTTTTCTGCTGTCCTTTTTAGTTTTGTCACTTTGTACTTGACTTTTAATATGGTACAAATCTTGTCATGGCTTCAGTTGGTGAAAGACCATATGGATGATTCTACTAGGAGGGGTAACACTCATCCACAAATGGACAAAACAAAGGCTGACTTGGATTCGTTGACAGAGGTTGCGAATGGTGATGAAGATACTACCACTGTGCATTCTCAATCATCCGATGCTACTGTAAGCTTTTTGTAAATTCTAACATTCTTGTGCATAGCGTCTTATTTTATAACATGTCTCTTTGCCACCATTGTTGTTTAAGCGGATCAGAAAGTTCTATTTGTTGTACTTTTGTGTTCTCTGTGGATTTATACACAAACAAAGAGCATGCGAATTCTTTCAACTTGACATTCATTTTTTTTTTTTTTGGGGTAAAATTCACATTTCTTCATTTTTTTTACTTTGGTGGCTGAATACAAGTGGAAAAGCTTTGGAGCATACATGAAGTTTATTTGCACTCTTGTTTTCGGCAGGCTAATGGTGCACTAAAAGATAAAGCCAATCAGAAATTTGAGATTCCGGTTAATGAGAACATATATGGTGGAATGACTGAGGGTGAGCTTTCAGAAGCTCAGGAGAAGGAACTTCAGTTGGCCCAACAGGACAAAGCTGTAGAACAAGCCAAAGACCAGAAGAATGCCTTGGAGTCGTATGTTTATGAGCTGCGAAATAAGGTTGAACCTCAAATGTATTATGTTGTAAATTTGTAACTGTCTCATCTTGCCAAGGTACCAAGATATGGTTCAATTTTACTACTGAACCTGCTTAGTTACTTGGTTACAACAAATTTTTCATGTGCTTTTTGGAAAAGCACAATGCTTCTGCTGAATCCGTTTGAGAGTTGAATTACCAACTTTTAGCTGTGTCATGGATTGTACATCATGCTTGAAGTACTAAATTAGATTGTTACATGGCTTTATATAATGTTTTTTTGGCTCCCTAAATCACTTTATATGTATAATGGATGGCTCAACAGTGCCAATTTTACATACTGCTAGCTTAAACTAGATGGATGATCAAGTGTATATTGTGTGAGATGCTTGTAACTATGCTAAATATCATTAGTGAAATCAGAAAAGTCTTCTAGATCATTATTACTTTCGTTCTTCTTCATAACCTAACTTCAAAAATAATGACCTGCACTTGAATAGCTTTTCAACACCTATCGGAGCTTTGCTAGTGACACGGAGAGGGAAGGAATTTCCAGGAACCTACAAGAGACTGAAGAGTGGCTTTATGAGGATGGTAATGATGAAACTGAAAATGCTTATACTGCAAAAATGCAGGATCTTAGGAAGGTAATTATTTCTCTATCTATCTAAATCTTAAATTCAGTATTCTCTCATCTATGCTCATTCCCTAACTTTCATTTTTCTTGGTTTCTAATAGTTGGTGGATCCAGTTGAGAATCGATATAAAGATGAAGAAGCAAGAGCACAAGCAACAAGAGATTTGTTAAATTGCATTGTGGATTATCGAATGTCTGTGGATTCTCTCCAAACCGGTGATAGAGAATTGGTACACTAATGAAACAAATAACGATGATGACTATAAGTACAATTCTTGCTTAATTCCGGATAATGTCTGTGTGACTTTGATTTATTTCAGATCACCAACGAGTGCAACAAAGCTGAGCAGTGGCTGAGAGAGAGAACCCAACAACAAGATTCCTTACCCAAGAATACAGACCCTGTATTATGGTCAAGAGATATCAAAAGCAGGACAGAGGATCTAAACTCGTACATCCTTCTGCCTTTCATTTGCTCTTTTAAAAAATTCAGAATTTTATTTTTCGATGTCTGTTGCACAAATAAATCATCACCATATATCAATCCTACGGGAAGGTGTTTTCCTGACCTATTAGACACTAACAGGTGGTAACAAATATTTCATACATCATGTAGGAAATAGGAACCTCTGTAACTAGAAGATTCTTGTCATTTCCATGTCATTTGGTTGTTTGTAGTTGCTAAAAACTTGATCCATTGATCGTATAGTGTTGTGTCCATCAAATGGCCATTAATGATCATAACTACTTTTTATCCATGGATTTCAGGACGTGCAAGCAGATATTGAGAAAGAAGTCTTCCCCTGCAAATTCGGAGGATGGTAAGGGCCTGGACCAGCAAGAGTAGGTTCGAGTTCAACATGTTGAAGACCTCAGAAAGTGCTCTTCATTCAGACTTGTTATTTAGCTTAGCATATACAACCTAGTAGTACAATTTTGGATTATGTTAAATATATATATGGAAGCATGCAGTAGAATTAGGCTTCGCTTCCTCACTGTTTTTTGTGACTTGAAAATGTCACGTCATAGGGTAGGTTGTGACTTTTGAGGTACTGATGAAGATAGGTTTTCCGTTACAAGCAATTCTTACAAGAGTAGCCTGCTGCCTGTTTATCTGTTCAAATATAGCCTTTTATGTAAAGTTATGAACCTTAATTTTGCTTGATTGTCTTTTTTCAGATTAGCATTATTACATCAATTTGCTAAGAAAACAAATGGTTTGCACATTGGACGATAAGCCTTTTTGTTAGCAGAAGCCTAATACAACTTTGGGAGAAACGTTGAATTTACTGCCAAAGGAAGCATATTTCCATTTGCATAGTGCCTAAATTAAGGCAAGATAGTATTCTAATGATACTTGTTCCTACTGGCACCAATGGAAGAGAAGTCTATAATGCAGCTTTTTCATCAAGATCGCTGATTTTCAAATCTGGAACTCGCGAGAGAGAATTTTCTTGGAAAAATATTAGCAACAAATTCCAGATGAGAATGGAGAAAGACAATCTAGAAATCATGTGAATTTTATTGAACTTTTTAAAGTGGTTACAAGTAAAACAAGGCACAAACATGTATAGCTCGTATGTTTTGTCCAGTGCTCAAGATTCAGCCTCTCATTTCCCCTGAAAGAAAAATAAAAACAAAAAATCAGCCTCTCTTTCTCGCGGCATTTGTTTTCTTTCGACTTTGTGAACCTTTCCCCTTGGTATTTGCTTTCTTTTTTGACTTTCGAAACCCTCCATTATCCTGTCAGCAAGAACTCCATAAGGTTACGAATTTTATCAAGTAAAACTCAATATCAATAAACCATTTCTTCGATGTCTGGAAAAAGGGAGAAACAATTCAATTTTTATAAAGTTTACCTTTTTGTAATGCCTGTAGGCAATTTGACCTGACAACTCCTGCCCACTTTTGGAGACATAAACCTGCATAGTTTCAAGAGGATTAGGAAAGGCTGCAGATTATCCTACATAAAGATTGCGTTGGCCATCAACCATCCACAAGAAATCCGACCCCCAAAGCTTGTACAAAACCAATAAGTTGATGTATACTTCTGCCATTGACCAGTTACTAACAAAAAGAAAATGGATCCATTAAAATTTGCATTTCCCATTACAGTAATTCTACATACCTTCCTCCCTTCAGGTGATGTATACCAATGACCACCGCCCTGCCCACTTGCATGTACCCGCCTTTTCCCAGCATCCTTTGGAATGGTAGTACTGCTTTTGGGGTCCACCCATCCTTCAGAAGCATGTGAAACTTCTTTAGCAATTGATTTCTTTGATTTGTTTCTTCCCCTTGTTAAGCCTTTCTTGCTGTTAGTTCTCTGAGTTCCTTGCTTTTCAGAAGTTTTTCCATTGAATTGGCTCCTGAAATGACAACTAAACATCATAACAAAAACTGATACTGTAAATATGAAGAAGCAGCTGAAGTATGAGATGTAAAGGGAGTTACATGTAATCGATAACTGATTCAGAATGCCGTTGGTTTCCTCTGTTGTTAACAATGCCCAGAGGGGAAAAGTTGGGTAACCGGCTGCAGACTAATCCCTGAATCCTCAGATCTTCATGGAAGAAGTAATGATGAGCTGGAGGAAGAGGGTTATCTAAATTCCAGCATTGTTCAAAGTCCACAGTGCTATTTAAATCTTGAAGAAAGGGTGTGCTGTCACTTGTTCGTAAATCACTCTGCATTTTCTGAGCTGCATTCTTATTTTCTTGAAGAGATTGGAAATACTCATTACACATCTCATCCAGAACAGGTGTCTGAACAGGAAGACTCTTTCTTGGACAGAAATCTTTCCATAAATCCTCACTTGGAAGCTTCTTCAGCGGCATTTTAATTTTATGTGCACTTGCAGTTGGCTGCTGCTTCTTCGAGGATGAGTCAGTTTTCTGAGTTTTTCCACTAGCATCTTCAATGATAGAAGGCTCTTCAGAATCAGAATCAATCAACTGAAACCTTCGAAGAGGACTTATAGTTAACTTTGGAAACATCAACCCACTGCGCCCTGTGTCCAAGCTGGAAGAGGCTGAGGCATCCAAAGCCTGTTCCTTTTTCTTTCCCTTACACAGGCTTGATGATTGACTGGTTAAAGCCCCACATCCTTTCTGCTTCGTTGAGGATGAATCAGTTTTCTGAGTTTTTCCACTAGCATCTTCACAGATAGAAGGCTCTTCAGAATCAGAATCAATCAACTGAAACCTTCTAAGAGGACTGACAGTTAACTTTGGAAACATCAACCCACTGGGACCTGTCTCCAAACTGGAAGAGGCTGAGGGATCTAAAGCCTGTTCCTTTTTCTTTCCCTTCCACAAGCTTGATGATTGATTGGTTAAAATCCCACATCCTTTCAATGGAACCTTTGAACTACTACATATAGAACTGAACTGAGTTGATGGATTGGCATCTGTCATCGAAAAGAAAAGGAATTTACATCTTCGCAAAAAATAATCTAAAAACAGAACAGATTGCATCCATGTACTTGAGAAATGAACATCAAATTATAAAATAGGCACCAAAGCCGTTCACAATATGATAAATTGCAGTAAAACCTGCTCTTATAGAATCATTATTGACTCAGGAACTGCTTTTGCCAAGTAATTTATAACCATTTGAGGTTTAGACCAATATTCACAATATGATAAATTCTTCACCGAAATGCATATCAACAATCCAAGAGAACCAATATCTCAACAGAACCCCTGCTATGAGTTAAAATTAGTCACCAATACAATATAGAGCATAGCTTCAAGTTAATAAATTCTTAGAAATGGAGCCTACAAGAGAATATCGCATCAAGTCCTAAGCCAAATTAACCAAAGTTCCATACATCTACTTATTTACAAACTTGCAAATTTTTCCCAGGAATTAGCAAACCCAGAATGCCAATATAACTCCCACATAACCAAAAATTCCCAATTTAAATTCCCCCGCCAAAAACAACTAGAAAAAACCAATCCTTTATCAACTTAAAGACCTCTTATTGCACACCCATTAAGCTTACTTCCTCTACAACACCATCAATACAAACATAGCATTAACTCAAACCCCATGAAACAACATGGACGCAAATCATCATATCCATTAAAAAGCACAAATTCAACACAGAAAAATCTAACTTCAAAATCATGCTTACTTCTCTGCAACATCAATGATAATAGTATCAATTCAATCCTCTCCGAAACAACTCAAACCCAAATCGTAAATTCCACTAAAAATTCCAACTTTATCTCCTCAAAACTATTCTAAAAGAAAACCCTAAAAATCAATATCAACAAAACCCATTTCAAAACTATTAAAAATTAATAAATAAAAGCTGGTGATTGTGAAGTTTACCTCTAACAGCAAAATCTTCTTCAGAAGAGAACTCTTCAATGTCATCATCTCCATAATCACGGAAAACACCCTCCAATTCCACCTTTCTCACCTTTGATTTCTGGCTCGCGGGTCCTCGTCTTAACCGCTTTAATCTCCGGGTCGGGCCGGGTGCGGGTTCAGGATCCGAATCCATGACATGAGGCCCGAATTCTTCCCCTTCTTCGGAATCCATGACCTGGGGTCCGTCATTTTGGTTGTCTAATGATGTATTGGGTCTTGAATTTGGAGCTGGATTAAGGGTCGAGGTATGGCGGTGGTGAGTGGGTATTCGGGGATCCAATTCGGTTTCGAAATCTAACCCGAGAGAGAATGAGGGAGGTTCGATATCTGCCATTTTTTTTAGAGAGATGGGAAATGGAGAGGGATTTTTGAAGTGAGGAAGAAATGGGTATTGGCGCGCTAGTGAGGGAGGGAGAGAAGATTTGATTTCGTTTTGGAGGGTTTTTTATTTCTTTTATTTTTAAATTAATTAAGCTAGTTTTCACTCTTTGCCTGCTTTTTATTTTTTATTTTTCTTTTCTAGGTATATTTTTTACTTTTTTTATTTTAAACCTATAAGTATTTAGTTTATGAACTAATTAGTTGCTGATGCTACACAGCAGATCGGACATAGTGAAATTATTTCAAAATTTTATAATTTTATAATTAAAATTTTTTATTTAATTTTATTTAATTCTTCATTAATATTGTAGTTTAAATTATTTTTTTATATTTTTCATAAATTTTTTAATTAAAAAATGATTCAATCTTCTTTATGCATTGAATCTTAAATAAAAACTTTTAATAATTTAAATTAAAATATTAATAAAGAATTAAAAAAACCTTAAAAATATATTTTTCATAAAATTGTATCTAAAAAAATAAAACTACAATTCATATATAGAAAAAAAAAACTTTTTATTCTTATTTAATGTTGATTGGAAGATTAATTTTTGAAACTACATGCATTTGATTTATATTTATTTATTTATAAAATAATCAATAATATTAGCATAAAAATAATTTGAATTATTATATAGTTATTTTAAAAAATTATTTTACTTATTTTATTATAAAAAATTGATTCTATATTGTTTAAAAAATATCTATAACAAATAATTAGTGTTATGTGTGAAGATGTACAATCAATTTTTAATAAAATGAATGATTCAATTTTTTTTTAATACACTATGACCATATTTAGTGGATCGAAACAAATTATATAAAACATACTTTTAACTTTATATATATATTCCACTACCATTTAAAAAAAATGCTAAGAATTCATGATGTATATTGTATATATTATGTCAATTTATTTATTAAAAAAAATCAATCATGTTTCTAAAATTTCATTCCAAAATCTAAATATAGAAAAAAATTATATTTATCGGTAAATAAAATCTTATAATAAATTAAAAAAATATTTAGATGAGAATTTTCATAAGAAATGACAAATTCAAAAGATAAATTTGAAATAGTAAATGTAATATAATTCGAAATGTATGTTAATTTTAAAATATAAAAGAAATTATATATTTTTTATTTTCAACACGCTACATGAAAAACACAAATAATAACACCTGAATGTTTTATAGTTTTTGCTTAAAAATTCTTGATTAAAAAGAAGAAAAGGAAAAAAGCCAATGGTTTAAGCCCACACACATGTATTTTGAGTAAAGACATGATCGCACAAGAATATTTTAAGCCTCTCTTCCTTTAGATATAGACATTCCACATCCCTTTGATTGTGGACTCCAAATCGGTTGTAAAACATTATTTTTATTGTAGAACTTTTTATTCCTTCTTCGATGCAATTGGCTTAATCACATGAACTTTGTGGGTACCTACCTCACCCTTGTATATAGGTTTAATGATTTTGATGCATGTCCAAAAAAATATACGCCGGTTTTAGAGATCCCATTGTTTATGTACTCTTATCATTTTTTGAATTCTCAAAATCAAAGAGATTTTCCGAACAAAATTGGTCTTAAAATGATCTTTGAGAAAGACTTGAAAACACTTATCCTTATCACCCTCCCGCAAATTGTGCAAAGCTATCCAAGATGCATAATTTGTCCCTTAACTTTGAAAACTTAAATTTGGACAATGGTTTGGTGAGGTTGTCGGCAATCCGATCATCAATGAAATTATAGCTTACCTTTAAAAGTCCTTGTCGGACTTTGTCTCCGACAAAATAAAAATCAATTTCAAGATGTTTCGATCTTGAATGGAATATAGGCGTAATTGTCGGATAGGTAGTCGAGATGTTGTCACACTTAATCATTGGGGGTGCTGAACTTGGTATACCAATTTCTATTAGTAGGGATTGCAAGCCATCAAGTTCAACATAGGAGGAGGCTAAGGCTTTGTATTCAACCTCTATAGAGGATCAAGTATCTATTTGTTGTTTTCAGACCTTTACAAAATGATGTTTTTATCAAGATAGATAGCATATCTAAAGGTACTATTTCTATCATCCACATCCCTACCCCAATCATAGTCGATCAAAACGGTGAGAGAAGAGATGTCGGATTTTTAAATATGAAGGCTAAGAGACTTTATAGCTTGAAGATATCATAGAATTCTTTTGACAAGCTGATTAGTGTTCATCATTTGGGGAATGCATGTACTTGAGCAACCTTATTGACGGAATAGACTAAATCGGGAATCCCTAAATATTTTAGTCCATCAACAATGATGCGATACAAAAAAAATAAGAGAATGTTGATCCTGTCATGGCTTGTAACTTTACAAGGGGACAAACTGGAGTACTCGGGCCCTTAGCACCATGCATTTTGGCTTTTTTAGAAGGCTGAGTTACATATCGATGTTGGTTGAGGAAAATGCTTACATTACTCCAATGTACTTGAATACCCAAAAAATAATAGAGAGCTCCAAGATGTTTGACTACAAAATTGGATTTAAGCTTCGCATAGTTGAGAGAATTAATGATGAATTATTGCCGGTAACGATCAAGTCATCAACATAGATAAGGTAGAAAATAACATCAACCCTTGAATGTTTATAATAAAGTGAAATGTCTATCTTGGATCTTTGAAAACCAATGGAGCACAATTTGTTAGTTAAGCATCAAAACCATAACCTAAGTGCTTGTGTTAATCCGTACGAGTAATTTTTTAAGTTTACGGACATGTATAGGTGTGGTGGGTTAACAAACTCTTATGGCTGCATCATATAAATTATTTCCTCAATTGGATCATGAAGAAAGGCATTTAAGATGTCTAATTGATCAACCTTCCGAGTTGAGAGAGATAGCAAGAGACAAAATCAACTTGATTATTAATGGCTTAATGATCGAATTGTATGTCTCGGTGAAATCGAGACCGGGACATTGATAAAATACTTTGGCAATGAGGCATGCTTTGTACAATCAATGCAACCATTAAGTCTGGTTTTGATGCAAAAACCCACTTATTTCCTATGATGTTATAATGTGACTGTCGTGGAACAAGCTCTCAAGTTCCGTTGTCTAGTAAGGCTTGAGACTCCATAGTCGTGGCAATATGCCACTGCAGTTGCTAATTGGCTTGATTGAAGTTATTGAGTTCTATGGGTTGTGTGACAGCAGAAAGAACATGAGGTTTTAAAGAACCGAGTCTTGCTACAAGTAACCATGGGATGATAAGGATTTGTGGTGTGGGAGATTTATGTGGTGGAAGGAGGAAGTTTATGCTATGTGAGATCTATTTGTAGAGGTATTAGGGAAGTATGGACAATAAGAAAGAGTGAAATATGAAATGGGGTAGATTGTGAATGGAGTGGATGTGAAGTGTTAATGTTTGTGTTAAATGACAAGTCTAGTGTAGAAGATGAGGATTAGTGTCTGGTTATGATAAAGGAGAGAATTCAATAGGATTAGGTAGAGGTAACAAAAACAAGCTAGGGATTGGATTTAAGCACGGTTGGCATGGGTAAAGTGGAGATAGTGTAGGGAGAAGATGTTTGTAAGGTCTGGTTATGGTAGAGTCAAAGACGTGTAAATGAAAGGCTGGAATGGGTGGCTTGGATCTGGTTTATGGAATATTTTGGGACAAGGTTGGAGATGGGTTATAGGAAAGTGGTCGGACAATAGGCTTAGTGCGTGGATCGGGTTATCGGATATTTTTTAGCAGGGGTTGGAGATGGGCAATGGGAACGTGGCTAGACAGGTGAGCTTAGTATATGGAATAGGTTGTAAGATATTTTTGAGTAAGGCTAGAGATGTGGGAACGTGATCGACTAGTGGGCTTGGTGCAAGAAATGGGTTGTGATATATTTTTAGGCAAAGTTAAAGATAAGCTATGGAAACAAGGTTGGACGAGTAGGTTTGGGTAAGATAGTTGGATAATGCATTATGGGTTAGGTAGTTTGTGGCAAGGTCGAACCTTTAGAAGCTGGTAAGGTTTAAATTGTTGGTGAAAGTAAAGTGATGTGGTTGGCATTACGGCATCTTTATCTAATAGTGCAAATGGAAATACTTACTTATCAAAATGAACATGATGTAAGACAATTATTTTGCAATAGAAATATTATAATAGATATATCATTTATAAATTTTACTATAGTTAAGAAAGACACGAGTAGAAGAATGATGAGCTAATCTATGTTTGGAATATGGACATGACCATGTATAACACAAGCACCCAAAAATTTTCAATTCATCATAAAGAGTTTTGGTACTAAAGAGAAATGAAAAAAGGGATTTGTGATTTAATGGAGGTGTCGACAATCCGTTGATGATATAGGTTGCGATATCAAAAGCATAGGTCCGGAATTATAGTGAGACTAAGACATGATGAAGAAGCACTAAGCTAGTTTCAACAATGTGCTTATGTTTTCGTTCAACACAACCATTTTGTGTTAGGGTTTTAGGACAAGAACATCATTGAGAAATGTCATTTTTAAAGAGTTATTCTTTGAAAGCTTGATATTCTCCACTCCAATCAGAATAACATATTTTAATATATTTACAAAAAAAAAATACATTTCAAAATTTGATAAAACAATTAAGTACCTCAAATTTATAACGAACATGAATTATCCAAGAATATTTATTGTAATGGTCAAAGAATAAAACATAATAATATAATCCATCAATGGAGGGAAAAGAGATGGTCCCACAAATCTAAACAAACTAACTCTAAAGAACTAAACACCTTAAATTCGGATGGAGAAAAAGGTAACTTATTTATTTTACTAATAAAATAAGCATGACATAATGAAGATAATTTATTAAAAGCTACATCAAATTTGGTATGCTTGAAGGCTTGATGAACTTGTTTGGCTAGAAGCATGGCCAAGACATGTATGCCATGTTTGTACGAAGGACAAATGAGCTTAAATTGAAAATGG